GTGGTCCAATTGTTGCTTGCCACGTGGCTGGAAGACCCGGGTCTTGTGTCTCTCCCTACTGAACCGTTTCACGTATTTATTAACAAAAGAATTAAGTTTTTAATTAAATTTAATCTCTTTTAATAGGTGACACCCTTAAAGGTTTTACATATAATGATGCTCTAATGACTTTCAAACTATTTGATACTACTTTGTTACATGCTTTCTCCTTTCTTGATTAGTGATAATAACCATGACAATGAAGAACTTCCTTCAATCTCATCCCTAACCATACTTAACCGCCGTCTCATGTTCTCGGTGGTGCCGAATCTCGTGACGGTTAGTGTCCTAAATTTATGAACGATTCTCACTAATTTAGAAAGACGTTCCTAAATATGTAGGAAACCTTCTTAAAAAATAAATTTATAATGACTTTTGAATAATTTAGAAAAGGTTTTTAACTATAATAAGAACATCTTCTTAAATATGAAGGAAACTTTTTTTTTTGGTCAAGTTATAATTTCATTTCAAACTAGACGGGACCCAAAAGAGGGTGAGAGTTTGACAAAGCCGCTTTGGCTAACAAATCAGCTTCTAAGTTTGCTGATCTGGAAATAAAATAAAAAGAGATGGAAGAGAACAGAAATACAAGGCCTCTAACATCATGTAAAATGCATGCAATCTCGTTCACGACCTCACCCGAACAAATTTAGGAAGGATTTTCACTAATTTCCTAAATATGTAGGAAATCTTTAAAAAAAAAATTAGAAAGGTTTTTGACTAATTTAGGAAAGCTTTTAACTAATTTAGGAAAACCTTCCTAAATATGAAAGAAACCTTCCTAAACACCAAATTTAGGAAGGATTCTCGCTAATTTAGCCTTCTCCATGGCCAGATCCGTTGTCGACGATGAAGTATCTGCAGTTTCTCCCCGAGACCTGTGTCTCGACGATTCTCTATCGAACAACCGACTGTATCCAAATTGTATCGCATCTCCCTCCTTTCGCGAGTCTCTTTTGGACCAGTTTATTCCATGTCTCCGGGATAGATTCCTAGCCATCTATAATAAGGTCAGTGATGTTGTTATCGTTGATGTGGCTTTGGACAATTTATTTCCTTCACCGGTGATGTCATCGGCGGGCATGGACTCATCCATATGTTGTTGGTACATTTTGATTTTTTTTTCTCTTTCATGGAAAAAACTCTTACACTTGTTCCCTTCTCTTTCAAAGAGATTTACAGTCCCTTACTTTCCTCCTCCATGGAGAGACTTTACTCCTTTGTGGAGAGACGTTACTCCTTTGTGGAGAGACCCATTTACTCCTTTATGGAGAAGCTTTTCTCCTTCATGGAGAGATTTCTTTCTTCCTTTACGGAGAGACACAAATCACCCAATTCCTCTTTTATGGAGTGTTTCTTACAAAGCTCATCTTCGTTGGCCATGGTTTTAATCGTGCGAGCAACAATTGACCACTATATGATCTTGGAAATCAAGAAAGCTATCATTTGAGTCTCAACAATGGCTTCAAACCCGGACGTTTTCGAATTTGTGGAGTTGTGTCTCCCTACTCATCTCAAAGGCTCCTACAATTGATTGTAGTTCTTTTGATTCTATCCTAGTTTTATCTAGTTCATGTTTTAACAATGTTGCTATTCTTCTTTTTGAGTATTCAGCCTTGATGTCTTGTAACAACTTCTCCTTCCTCCTCGTTTGATTTATAAAATCCAATGTTTGATCAAAAAAAAAAATCATGACATTGTTTAGACCCCCAAAAAAAAAAAAATCACATTAAGTGGCAATTACAGTAATTAAACAAAAATCAAGGGGCTAATCCCCACTGTATCAAAAACGCCAAAATCAGTCAAGACCATAAAAAGTCAAGGTTTCCTTCACCTCTAAGAGAGCAAGAAGCTTTTAAAGAAGCTGATGAGGATTTGTTCACTTTATTCACCTTTCCATGTCCTTCTTCAACAAACATTGGTCGGCTAAAACTAAAAGATTTTCAAAAAGATCAATGTTCATGTGCACATGCATATAAATATACATCTCTTCATTCACAGATATACATCGATATATCGACAAATATTGAATCTTGATCTCCAAGAACCAAACCATCAAAAGCTCCAATGGCTATGACTAGTACTAGTAGCACCACTTCGTTGTATCCAACCCAACAACAACCGCAACAGCAATTCGGAGGCAATGAAATTGAACCTGCGGCTACAAATGCTAATCTAGTTTCAGCACCAAATGGTCCAAACCATTACTCATCTGGCTCCATTGGACCTTTCTTCGCAGTCATCTCTGTTCTTGTCGTTGTTGCAGTTCTCTCCTGTTTCTTAGGCCGGATATGCGCAAGGCGCCGCCAGAAAGCAATTTCAGTGGCTGAGGTAAATCCTTTGGAGATGATAAAGAGCGGTGGGCTTTCGGGATGGCTGAGACGGAAATGGAGACGGTGTTTGTCCGGAGATGTCGAGGCTGGAGCTAAGGTTGCTGATTGCACCGGTAAAGAAACGCAAGAGAGTGATCAAACTCGCTTAGAAGCTCCTCCAGCTTGAATCGTTGTGTTAGAATTAGTAATAAGAGTGTAACAACAGTCTAATGTTGATTTCAATTCTTCTAAACCCATCTCTTAATCTCTTTACTGAAATCTTGTGAAAACTTTACTTACTCCATTGCTACAAATCCAACTTTCGAAAACAAGATTGATAAATTATCCATATGCAAAACAGAAAATATAGAATGTCAGAAGCCAAAAATTTGTCTTCATGAACAAGACCAACCATTTAAATGGTAAGAGTAGTAAGACTAAAGGAGACAAACACTCTAGCAACCTCAGAAAAAAGGTTATGAAATCTAGAAAACAAGCTCATGGGGCTTCATTCCTTGTTTCAATGAAAACCTTGCACCAAGGTAAGTCTTCAACTCTGAAACTGCTTCAATTGCCTTGATCAAGGCTGCATCCACGGTCTTCTGGTCGTCTTTCTTATCTTGTGGGATCTGCTTCTTCTCCTGAAGCAATCCAAATGGCATAGGGAGGTCAAGAACAGTTTTCAATTGGTAATGTACAAAGGAGAGAACTTTATCTTCCATTAATCAACAAGAACCATATCTTAAGAAGTAAGACAAGATGAATTTGGTACGTGTTTGAGATACCTCTTTCTCTGCCTCGAAGAAC